TTCCGCCCTCCGAGGGCGGGTTTCGATTTCGGTTTCGAGCAGTCGCGTCTTTTGGCTTTATTAAAAATATACGCTACTCTGTTGCAAAATAATAATTGGGTAGTCCTCCGACACCATAATAAAGCGCCTGGCAAAAATGAAAAAAAACAAAAAACATTTTGAGGGGTGTCTGTGTCTCTTTAAGTTGTAGGAAGACGTGGTACCGAAGCACAAAGCAGAAATTACGTGAAGATGCATTGGTGGATTCTGAGGGAACACGTTACATCCTCCTCCCACTAGAGCGACGAACACGACATTTTGCCCGGCGGCACCACAAAGTTTTGTGTCTCTGTTGCTGCCTACTGTAATGACCAACACCCGCGACAAACGCTGAGAAGCGCCGAAAAACGATCGACGACGGACAAGGTCCTGTTTTTCGTTGGATTTGAAGGACTGAGAGCAGTCCCACCAAGGAACACCGCTCGGAGACGAACTTATCGTCCTCGCCCGCTCGCGCCCTCTGTTGCGTCTCTTCCCTCCCCTCTCCCTTCCTCCCGTTCCTCCTGTGGCCCGCTTGGCTCGCCCAGCCGCTCGACCTCCAGAGAAGGCCTTGGCGGCCACTGATCGTTCTCGCACTTCCGGTCCCTCGATGGCCCGTTAGCACTCGTGGCTTGATCGCTGGCGGTCGTGTTGCGTAAGGAAATTTGCTGTGGCTAGTTTTTCTCACGAAAACCTAGTGCACGAGGTGGTGCTTCAAGACGCTGAGGTCTACGCCCCAACGTCTAGACGTATACCCCGGCGTTCGAGGACTGACCAAAGTAAGACCGCTCATCACAAGTAGGCACGACGTTCCGGTAAGGCGCCCCGGCGTGGCAAGAGACTTGTCATTACGTTTTGTGATAGTTTGGATGCCGTATGTCCCCCGGAAAACGCCTGCTCTCGATGACTTGAATAGAATTATAGTCGAAGTGGGCGTGAAATTTTGTGGCGCTCACTTCTAATGCCTCGAACGACCCAAACAAACAACGATGGAAAAATTTATATCGGAAAAAGTTTAATATCGACCGTCACAACGGTTTGCGAAAAAGCTATAGTAGAGGTGTAAATATTGTAAATGAATTACAAAGGGATAGCCCCTTCAATCGGTGACCCGGACGTGATCGAATCTTGAGAGTTGTGACGTGATGTTGTTCTTGCGGAACGAAGAGTCGATCGTAAGAACCATATTTCCGCGTCCGATGCCCGGAACTCTGGTAGCTTGAACGTCAAAGAAGGAGCAACGTATGGAAATTGGGGGGAAGCGCCGATGGAGGCCCGAACATCATTGATGGAATGTTTCATGCTCTGAATGGTTGGTCAATGTTGAAGTCGAGGGATGGCAAAACGTCAATTGCGGAATGTCCGGCAGAATGCCCCTTCACGCTCTTTGAGTACGACCAAGTTGTTATTCTCTTATATTTTGAGAGCTTTTCGGATGCAGACGGTAACGCCAAAAAGTAATTGTGCTGAAGCTTTCTTTTTTTAGATAAACGTTTATCTGTATCCAAATACACGTAACAATTGAATTGTACGAACTTGCATGTTTTTCGCTATCGAGTTCATGGCGTCTATCGAGTCGAAATGTACAATTTTCGATATTCTTTTCAAGTTGTACATTTTGTTTTGTTTGCACCTTGACCCAAAATTTAAGAGAGTGACGTACTTGTTTCGGAGTGGTCCGTCATTATCTGGGCAGCGCGACGTCGGCACATCCACCAAGGACTCGTGGCCGAAATAATGGCGAGCCGCGCAGGTGGACTACGACTTAGCTGTCATCATTACTCCGGACGTATGTTTCGACGCTCTTTGTTTGTTTGACCTAGTTTTCAAGCGCCGAGAACGCAAAAACAGATGAATGAATATCTGCAAACGTGTTGGAATTACACATTGTTGTATCAGTTTACCTTCATATAATGACTCTCTTGAAAATTAAAGTGATCAAGAAAACAATATTAAAAAGGTTATTAGTTTAGTGTGCTAGCCAAATAACTGTGGCGGTTGTTTCCTCAACTAATGTATTGCGAACCTCAAAATTGTACGTTGCTGACCTTGTAATTCTATTCTTTTGTTTATACATCACTTCCTCAGTGACAACCCGTGTTCAGAAAATAGAAATATATTTTATCTTACTATATTTCGTTGCTATCTTTCTTTCAAATATTTTTTTTAATTATTGTCGTGTTTTCCAAATTATAAACATTTGAAATACTTGAGTAGTAGTCGCAGTTGACAGTTTTACATCAGTAAACATGTGTAGATATTTTCCCCCTCCTTCATTGCTGATGCCATCAGACCTTTAAATTTGATTGTCATACAAACACTCTAATTAATAAAACGAAAAGGCTTCATTAAAAAAATAATCGTCCTGCGTCGCTATGGTACACCAATGCCAGTATTTCAGCTCTCACAATATACAGCGATATATCCCTGATTTCGCTTTCTTTTAGCTTTATCAACATTCTCGATAGACCAAACGGTCAAGTAAGTATTCAATGCTAAGTCGCCATTTGTGCAGGGTAAGAATTACAGCCCTATTTGCCACAGATTGTGATCAGCGTAATTCTTCGTAAAAAGAACAACACCAAACAAGTATATTTCTTGCACAGATTGTATAAGGTGGAATATTGCTAATATTATAATAGACTCCATCTAATTAAAGCAGATGTTGTGCCTATATGATCAATTCAATAATGCCTGCCGGACCCAAGTTTGGGACGCTCCTTTTCTTTATGTTAAGCAATTGTTAGTTGAGACGCATTACATATAACGTTTCAAGACAACCGGAATCTTGAATATAGCTTATGATGGCAGAAAACAAAGTGCGTTTAACGCTTACCTTTAGAGCCCTTTCTATTTGCCTGGTTCGGTTGTGAATATTTCAAAGTGAAGACTAGATTGCTTGCAGGCAATGGACCATAGGACACTATGTGCGTTCAAAGAAGTACTTGACAGTAGAAACAATTATATGCCCTTCATATGAACGTTTGTTCCTTTTTCTTAAATAAACTCTATAATTGGTTGGATAGCGATCGAAGTATATATAATCGACGTGCTGATACCCACTTTATTCAGTCCTGGATTGCTGAAGTTTCCATGTTTCCAGATCGCGAATCTCCGATGGCTGGCCTTACTCAGTAATGGTATGGGGAATGACTGTACTTGTGACCAGGATACCGAACTTTACCGCCGGTTAAAAATTATGAGTTTACACCAGCTACCCTTCCATTGAGGTTGACCGTCCTCTCGTCATGGTGTGGAATTTCGAAGGCCACGCGCCTTTTGTGTAAAGCCATGATCAAAAGAAGTTAACTCGTGTGAGAAAGCACGCCATGGCCTTTTTCTTTTTAACCGTATTTCGCCTTTTGGCTGTCGTTTCTGAAGGGCACGGTTTGCGAACCTGGGCTCTAAAAGTTTACACGTTGATCACTTAATATGGCCAGGTGTGTAGTGAATGAATAATGGTGTTTTGCGAATTAACATACGAACATCCTTTTTTCTGAGATATGTCTTTGAAAAGAGGCGTATCGCGATGTCTTGGCCGCGTTTTGAAGAGTGGTAAATGCCATGTATATTTTAAAGTTCAGGTTTTTCAGGTTTGCTTACTGCGTTATGACCCCGAAACGATACTTTCTTACGATCTAAAACATTTGAGTCGTGTTTTTATGTGTGGTGATAGGCAATTAGACAACTTGCCATTGTTATTGTACACATCGCGACACTGCTAGCGCGAACACGACATCGGCGCATTTTCGAATTTTACTCCTAAATAGTATTAGCGAGCACAAAATTTTATCGCCCACATTATAGAACTAAATGAGCTCTTTCCGTAGCAATAATAACTTGGATGACATCCTTTAGTTTCAAAGAGAAAAACTGAAAAACCGGCGATCGCTTGTTCGCGCTAACAGTGTCGCGCTCTGTACCTATTTCTTTCTAATAATATCTAATCAACTGATCATTTGTCCATATTCGTTTCCGGGAAGATAATTGTTTTTGTATGTTATATGCATAGAATCCAATGATTAGGCGTTCACCAATTTTTGCAGTACGTAAAAAACAGGGTCTAGGAAGATTATTGGCTCGAAACTTCTATAAAAGACAGATTTTAAACTGACAATAAAACGTGTTGGGGTCTCACTGAATGCTTTTGCTTTAACCGTATACTTTGATATGCTTCTTTCACATTGCGTTATTAGGTTATGCATTTGAGATATGTTCAATTTCGATGTCGGCTGGTGTCGTCTCGTCAACTATGACTTCTCATTTTAGTTAACAAGGTTTAGCATGTACACTTGTTAAGAAGTTTCATAATGCGCTCGCAAAAAATAGACAATAAATTATCTTCGCTGAACATGTAAGTCAATCTTTGTGCAAGTGTTACTTTTTCTAATTTAAGAAATGTATGATTTTTATGCGCCCAATTTTTCCTCCCGAGCTCCAAACTAAAAAGTAGACAAAATCAAGTTCCACTTTCTTTTTCCGCTTTCGTAATATTCGATTGCTTCCCTAATTAAAGTAGCATTACACACTATAGGCAAGTTACTAAAAATGTCAAAACAACAAGAGGTATTGGAGCTAAAGATAGATATAGTAGTTGTGCTTGCTGAATATTTGCACTCAACTTCGTAAAGTGTGATTTTCGCCTAGTCACCAATGTTTCAACCAAAAAATTCTACCTATTTTTTTTTATGAATCTTAAGCTGCGGGTAGTTGTTGATGCGTGCTTTCTGCATATTAAATTTGTTCTATAAAACAAACACTCTGCTCTTGGTGAACCAGAACGTTGCAGTGACTACGATCTCACCGGTCCCCTCAATGTCTCGTAGTTGCTGAGAATACTTTCCGAATCAAAACTTCTACGCATACCGACACCGATAGGTGCGTTGTTGTATAATGTGTTCTTATGAATGTTTAGCATCCCAAAGTGATGTGTAATGTATGAGTAAACGTCAAAATATGATTATCGAACTGTTATTTTTCAGTACATTCCTCTGCGTGCTCGCTTTTGTCTTGGTTTTAAGCACAGCGATTGATCTCATCCACAAACATCGCTATGGGAAAGATGCGTTTCGAGGTAGGTAACTGGAGATATGATTGCTTTTTTATGTTCGAATATATGGCAGAAACTTTTTTCTAACTCTAAATTAGATTGTGCATGCTGTATTTTGTGTTTGATTTATATTATAAATAATGCAGCGGTATCTAAGAGAACAGTTAAGTCCCCTTTGTCTATTGGAAGTATATTATTATGCCTTTTAAAGGGCAACTCCGGTCCATACTTTCGATATTGGGATTATGGCTGTTTTTAGTGCAGTTAGCGCCCCTGAGTTGCAAGGTGTAATTTTTTTCTCGTTATTGTGCGTAGTTTTAAAGATATCGAAGTCTCAAAGTTTTGTTTGGGGCGCGGCCGACAAAACCGAAACTAGCCGCTCGAGGTTCCGGCAACACTGGAAATCAGCCGCTATGTTTACGTGACGCCAAGATCGTTCTTGTTCAGCGAGTAGGCAGTCCAAGCGGCACCTACCTCTGTTGCGCTAGTCGTCTAAAGATAGAAGGTAAACTGATTTTGTTTTAATTCTGTATATGTGGTAGTTATCCAGCATATGTAGCAAGAGTTGGTGCGTATACCCAAAAGCTAGCGACTGGAAAACCCGTCAACTCGTTCGGTGGCGTACTCGGCGGCCGCCGCCGCACGTGCGCTATGCCGTGCCGTACTCGTTGCTTGTATACCCAAAAGCTAGCGACTGGAAAACGAGTGAACTCGTTCGGTGCCGTACTCGGCAGCTGTCGGCGTGCGTGCGGTCTCCCGCACTCGTCGCTAGGCCTAAATTGTCATCGGGGCTCCGTGGATGGAGCGGCGTTGCTCTACGCCGCGCTGCCAGTGACGTACAGTGCTGGCGCTTTCGCGCGGCGGGTCAGTCCCAGACACGAAGCTTTGAAGCTCTCCGGCGCGTTCCGCGACAACCGAACAGACGTGTGTCAAGCTGTAGACGTCTGTTTTTTCGTTATTTTTTCCTCAGGCGCGTAAAAGCCGGATTTGTAAGCTACGACACTAATTCACCACATAAGTTCGTCCAGGTAGTAAATCTTTGTACAAATAACAAAAAAAACTTGCTGCACTACAAAAAAAAAAAAAAAAAGTTCTTCGGGCAGTCATTTTCTTCTCAAAGCTAGCAAAAGTTTTTGTGGATGATAAAGGAAACCAGAGAACGTTAGCAAGGTGATAGCACTTTCTTTCCCTTCCGCATTCCCATCCCCACCCACAACAATTTTTTTTTTATTAGAATACATAGGATTTTAAGTTTTCCTTCGTAACTTTTGACTAAAGCAAGTTTTTTTTTTTTTTTTTCATTTTTAAATTTTATATTTACCTTCAGCTGAACTCGGGCAAATTAGAGAGTTGTAACTTACAAATCCGAACTTTCGCGATTTCTTTAAAGTCCCTTGTGGTATTCACGAGCGAAATGGTAATTAATACTGCTGCGTAACGGGTTGGAACGATTGGAGGCGAATGTTTATATCGCATGAGCTTCACGCGCCGGCTCTTCGGTAGTAGTCGTTACGTACCTGAATACTACGCGCGAGATTGCATAGTAAACAAGCAGTGACGCAAAGCAGAACATTGTTTTCGTTTTCATTACAAACTTCAGTGTTTGGAGCTAGTTAGTGGTTGTACTCTACATGCCCACCATTCCCCATACAACAGACATTCAATGGAGCATGAATACTCAATCTTCAACACTGCACTTGACAATGACTGTTTTATTTATTGATCAGAATACTTTTATCATGTTTACCTTTTCTGTATATGTACGATGGGCAAAGAGCGACGGCACGGCATCTTTTTTAAGCCTCGATCCCTTCGCTGACAAGCCACAAGCAACCAACACCCGTAGGTTTCGTTCGTAACTCTCCGGCGAAAAATGATCGGAGCAGAGCTTCGATCTGGGGGTCGACGTCCAAGGCTTTCCAAAGTCCACTCGTCAAACAGCGTTCACCCACACCTTCTCCAATTTCCGATCCGTTGGAAACTTGTGAAAAAGCACCTCCGGGTTGCGCAGCGGCTTGTTTGAGCAGCCCACAGCGCTTTAAGTTGTACTCGGCATCGTTCGAGGAACAGCTGGGCAGTCTTGGGCGCACCGAGTTGCTCGCTAAAACGAGTCTAGGAGACCTCACAAGCAAATAAACAAAAGGCTATACCGAAGCTACACGGGCTACAGGTAAAAGCAACGGCTAAACACGCAATTACACGGCGAAGTAGCGGTGGTAGCGGCACAAAGAAGCGCGCGCGACGGCTGCGCCGTGCTCCCGTCCGGAACGGATGAAAAAAAGAGAACGATACGGACGTCACGTCCCAATGTTGCTTTAGCGATCGGCAACCCGCTGGCCGCCCGCTAAGGAGCAGCGGCTCGCGGCGGGTCGCGTTTTTATTATCGGCATTGGTTGAGAATGCGGCGTCCCACGGACGTGAAATTTTGGCTGGGGTCGTCTTTTGTGTTACTAAAGCGATACCAGTAATTTAATTCATTTTGAGTTTTGGCCGGAGTTGCCCTTTAATAAAGAGACGGCACAGTGCAAACTAATAAAAGAACTCCCCAGAGCACACTATAGTTAGCGATATTCTTATACCTGGGTTAGAGTACACGCTGTATTTGTGTCCCTTTCTTGTCTTCGTCTTTTGAGCTCAATTAGTTTTCGTAAAAAATCTCTCTAAACTGTCGAAAAAAAAATTGAAAGCAGCAATTATTGTTTACGCTATAAATCCCAACGCTGCTCGAGGAATGATCGACTCCTTGTTCTGAAATGGACACCCTTTGAAAATACAATCATTCGCTTATAAAATCATAAAAAGTCCATAGTTTCTTAGGAAATGATAATGCTTTGAGGACCCCTTGCGTATATTGTGCTATTGTTTATAAGGTAACAAAATAGAAAACATGTCAGTGATCGATATAAGAGACCTGGCACTAAAGTGAATCTGACTTTAAACGTGCACGTTGGAACACAAGAACATGCACTCCACATACGATACATTACACGTCTTTCTACCTTTCCACGCTTAAATACCCGCATTTTATACATCATAATGCACTCCATATTGATCTCCCGCACTTCACGTATACTCTAAGGCAATTAAAATATTTCCCAAGGCTGCAAAAGGTGTCGTGATGTGGCTTTAGCATGCGTGAGGAATCGTGCTGTCTGTTTTTTGACCAGTAAAGTGCGTAATAAAATGAGCCTTAATAACGCATTTGCTTATTGCTCATGGGCTTGTATTTGGCACAGCGACATTAGCGCGCTAATCTTGTGTGTTCATTGTCTCTGAATATATTTTTGGATACTCTTTTTTTGAAAAGTCGTCAATCGCTGGGCGCACCTTTCCAAATTAGTGATTGGTTACCCGCGTGCTCTTCAGAAAATAGAGAGAAAGCCTTGTGATCATCAAATTCGAAGACTGCAGCAAGTAATTATTTTTAATTAATCTTTAGTCTAAATCGTCAATAAAAAAAAATCAAATTAAAGAGTAGTTTGTTTTCAGCTGAAATATAATATCCAACACCGTAAAACTGAAAAGGCGAGCTAATATGCCTAACTGTGTTATTGACTTTTAGGGGGTCATATAAGCCTGGATACTTATAACCTTGTGTTTAATGAAAAAAAAAAACACACTTGCGTGCTTACTTTGTTTGTTGTGTGGTTTCTTTAGTTTAATTTTATACTGTAAATATTTGCCTGCCTCACTGTAAACTTTTTTTTTATTAGACCCCATGCTAGCCCCCGGCAACAGGTGTAGATTGATATAAATTATATTAAAACTTTAATATTTAAAGGTATCAGTAGAACATAAGACCAGGTTCTCAGTCAACAATTAAAAATCATTGAATATTGAGATCTGATTGTGTGAAATATTCGGAAGGAGTCGTGCGATCAAAGCAAAACTCCACACAGATGCCTCAAAATTACGAAACGAAAGACGCCGTTCAAATTAGCTGCTCTCTGCGTTACCGAGTTTTGGACGTTAGAAATGTTCACAATGCTTTGAAGCGTGAAGTTTTCTAGTCGTATGACCTGCCAAAGAAACGTTTTAAACTGTGAGGTGGCATTCAGAAAGTTTTTGTAATCGCACATATCGATTTGTTTAAACAAGCGCTTTGTGAATTTATGTTTCGTGATATCCTTTATTGGCAGTTTAATAAGAAATATATAGGAGCCTCGTTTTTTTTAGAAGTGAACAGGAAAGTATTTTTTTCACAATGTCTGGGGGTTAGTATTAGAATGAAATGTTTTGCACACACCCTACTGAAAAACATATGAATCCATATAAGAACTGATATGAAATATCCAAAAACTGATATGTGACAAATGAAACTGATATGAAATATCCAAAAACTGATATGCGATATAAGAACTGATATGAAATACCCAAAAACTGGTATGAGACATATAAGAACTGATAGGAAACATATGCCAACTGATATGAATGTGTCAAATAAACATATCATAAATAAATTCATATAATTCTTTTCAGTATACGACGTGCCGGGCGGGAAAGCAAACACGTGGCTTGGAACCGCAGTGGAGCGGCTTGATTTACTGGCTTTCAAATAACTACGGCATGAGCATTTACTTTTTATTAAGAGATTCATCCCCTGAGCCGTTCAAAAAACTCTCAGAGGTATGACATTACTGAACAAAATCCACAGCGATAAAAAAATATTTTTTATTGCTAAGGTGGTCACCGAAAAACTCCGTACCCTATTGGAAAACCCCAATATAAACAGCGTATTATGGATATTGGTAAACAATATCTTTTTATTGTATTGCAATACGATATGGACAGTGTATTGGAAAACATTACATTTATTGTATTGTATTACAATAAGGGTTTGTTATGGGATTCCAATATCCATAATACGCTGAAAAAATTGGAATCCAATATCGTATAAGCCCTTATTGGATCCCCATGTGTCTATGGGGATCCAATAAGGGTTTACGATTCCAGTGTACTTAGCGTATTATGGATATTGGAATCCAATATATTATATCGGCTACCAATAAAACTATACACGAGTT